GCGATATCAACAGCGCAATGTAACATAATCGATAATTACGATTAATGTACGCGAGATCGATATACATTGCAATATTAATCATTTTCCGTGTAATTGTGATTAGTGTGACTTTAAATAATCATATGTGCCACACTTAATACCGCAATAAATGGATATTCGATACAATATCCGTTTTCAGCTCAATGGAGCGGAGCAAACCTTGATTTAACGGAATTACCGTATATCCGTCATGTAATAGCAACTTGCGCATCGATCACGGACTGATTTATCGATCAGCAATAACATGACCAAATATCAAGCACGAATTTTCCACTCTATAAATTAATATGCGAAAAACTTCGAATGATGATAATGTCGAAATTTACGAATCTTTGACACATAAATTATATAAAGCGTAAAAATTTCGATATTATTCAAAACGACCATTCCCAATTTCGTTTTCTTCTGCTATGTCAAACAAAATTATGGATTCTGAAAATATTCTGATGTAAAATGAGAGAATTTTATATCGGTTTTAATAGAGAATATTCTTATAAATATTTAGAATTATTGTATAAGATATTAAAGTTGGGAAAAAATCATTGTAATAATATTTTATAATGAGCAAATAAACCAGTAAACTAAAGTAGATTATAATAAATTATAAGAAAGGACATTAATTTTTCTTACATGCGAAATAGAGAAAAAAGAAAGAATTATTATAATATTTATTAATTTATCTTTTCTTGAGCAGATAATTTTACAAGAAATTATAACGATTTTAATTTAATATTGTTTAACATTCCAATGGTATAACATAGTTATGAGAATAAAAGGATATATTTATTCTTTTCTAACTGATCTCGCTCTTTCAGTATAATTTCAGTTTTTAATATATTCTTTACGCGCTTTCGAAAGTAATAATAAAGTATCGAGCGCAGCATTATCAATGACTTTAATGCAACAATGAAAAACGAACTTAGCGAGACATTGTCGCGCAAATTATCGTTCTTCTTAGCAGTAGATTAATTACTCTGACACCCAAACACGATGGCACTGTGAGAAACTCGATTTAAAAGTCTCAATAAAACTGTTTAACTTGAAAAGTCTATTCGATTTCACGTACCTACTTAATCATTCTTTCTATCGAATGATAATACTGTTTAATTTTAAAAAGCAATAGTACAAAATTTTTTCTATCATATCCAAACCATTTTATATATAATAGTATTATATCGTCAATCTATTTGTATTTCTTTTTTTACTAAACGATTATTAGTGATCTTGAAGTGAGAAATAAATTAGAAAGGCGCGGATGGGATTTGTCATCGGCCGATGAAAACTAATTTCCCAAGAATTAAAATTCTCCCTCGGACGCATACCGCGAGGAACATTTTCAAGGAGTGAGTTAAGGGATCACCCTCATTCTTGGATTCTTTGAATACATTTTACGAGACGATTCAATGAAATGAGAACCTGCAAGATTACTTTGCTTGCTTGATTAAAATATCGGGGATTACCAATACGTTCACGCTGAAAGGGATTTTGCGAAAGCAGAGCTCGTCGGACTAAGATCTCTCTCTCTCTCTCTCTCTCTCTCTCTCTCTCTCTCTCTCTCTTTCTGTTTGGTTTTAAAGCTGGCAGTGGGTTTCACCAATTAAAACGATGGCGATGAACGAAGTTATAGAGCTCATAAGCTGTTGGCATGCTAACCTAAGCGATCGAGAAATTGCAAGAGCCTTTTGCGGAACTTGTACTGTCGAAACAAGTTTGTACGATCTACACGGTGCTTGTACAGTATACACGCGCTCCTTTGTCGCTTCAACAGGAACATAATCTGTACATGAGAAACATTATACATGTACTAAATTCTAAGACAAGGACTAAATTCTAAGACAAGAATATGCATGAGAACTATATTTACCGAATATATATCAAAGTAAAATTTTCAAGATATTAATTTGCATTTATTAAAAAATTTATAATCTTATAAAAAAATTTTCTCTTTATTTTGTCATCTATATTTCATTAACTTGTCTTATATAAAATAGTATAAGTAATTTTCCACCGCGCGTGGATTAGGAAAAAATAAGTCCCATCGAGATATGAAGTATAAATGTACCCAATTGAAGTTAATGACCCAATTGAAAGAAGTAATAAAAATGTTAAATATTTAGCTTTTAATAGTATGTATAATTCTAAATAAATTCATCTTATTAAATTTTTATAAACAATGAATTTACTTATAGTTATATATATTATTAGAAGTATAATACTTAACATTTTTGTCATTTTATTCAATAATAATTGTGTTCACTAATTGTCTACTAATTGGTCTTCGTTTATCTTATCTACTAACAACGAACGATCCCAAAGTTGTTTTCGTCCTCATGTGAGAAACAAATTATAACTTCGGAGATCGCAGACTTTTTGATTTAAATACTTCTAACGTCTTTCCGGTTACTTGACTTGTAGCCTGGCAGCAAGATTGTTTAATGATCTGATGGGTATTCTGCACTTGCAGGAAAGTCGATTTGTCTGCAGAACTCTCTAGACGGTGAGAAAACGATCGGTTGGAATCTCATTTTAGCCGGTCAAATTTGATCTCGCTTTACCTCGAGTAATGTCGAACGAATCGCAAATTGCATTCTCACGATTCGACTGCGAACTCGTAGCCCTGAGGGTTTCCCTAGGGAGGGTCACTTCCGCTCTCAATTCTCAATAGTTATAGTGTTTGCTGAGCTCGCCGCATTTCCGCACAATTGTCTAGATTATGGCGTGTGTCTCTTTGGATCACATGTTAATTTACTCGCGCTATTTCGGATCTTTAAGTTTGACTGTACGACGAAACTAGACATTGCATTTAAAATTAAATTACAAGGAGTACTGAATTAATTAATTAATGCTATCGCGAAGTTCGTATCATCTTAACCGTATATATTTCAACATTATTTTTATTGTTTATTTATATAATTATTTACAGAATATATTATATTTTAACTATCTTCGTATGTTCTGTAAAAATTTTGTTTATTTGACTTGTCTCTATTTATTTTGTATAATAATTCTTTACTATTCTATTTATATCTTACATTTATACTTTAAGCATTCTTGTCTTCTCTATTGTGTTTATTAGACAAGATACGCTTTTATTGTTTCATTTCTCTGTAATTCATAATTTCTAATCATTTCGTTTTCTGGGAGGCTTTAGCAGTTCTGCTGGTGTCTCACTATTTTTGTGTTCATCCGCTTGTCCATAATATATTTTTTAATTTAATAAAGTATTCCAATTATATACTAACTTAGTTAATATATAATTGGAATATTTTATTTAGAATAAAAAACACATTCATTAATTAAAATTTCGCAATTAAAATTTTAGAATTCGCACACTGATGTGATTTTTCAATCGCAATTTGTTTCAAAGACGTTCGTATCGATGGAATGAAAATTATCGAAAATGAGCAAATAAATGATTCGTATTCGATTTAATAAAAAAGAAAAACATATTGTGAGAACGTCAATGTGTAAAAAAATAGCTTGATTAAGCAATTAGATTAGGAAAGCGAAAAGATCGAATGAACATTTTAACATGAATGAGGGCGTTGAACTGTGATAAATGACGGAAGTAAAAACTAATCTAAAGCAAAAAATGAAGCAATCTAGGAATAAGCGATGTCAATCACGTCATAATTCATCACGAAAAAGTATTTAATCAGAACAATACGAGCGATTTAATTTTTTCGAATTTTTCTATAAACTAGCTAATTAGTAAATATTAATTTTATTTTATAACCTGAAAAAATATTTACATAATCAATCAGCGTAAATGTATATATTTATATATATCTATATTAATTATTTCTGTTTTAAAATATTAAAAAGAAATTATTGATGTTTGAATAAAAGGGAGAGTAGTTCGAGTATCAATTAATCAATGAGAGAAGATGTAGAACATCGCTCTTGGCTTTGCACGTTGGGTAGAGAGAGAGACCATCACAGGGAATGAATGTATGAAAGAAATACTGAAAGGAGAAAAGTTCGAGGTCGGCGGAAGCGAGAGAATTTTGTGCCGGAAGGAATAGAAGGAAGAAGAGCGAAAGGATGTTTTTTTAGAAAACCGAGTCGGTTTGAGGCTGTGAAGGAAAAAGCGTGCTTATGTGTGTATGTTTCCATATACGTATCTGTATCTGTATGTGTATGCCAGTTGTGTCGATACACGAAAAGAGGCAAGAATACTTTTTGAAGTACGGTGAATCGCGAAATGTAGATAAACAGGGCAAAGAGAACTATCGTTGCGAGCATGTCGGTCAGAAAGATCAGACAGGTATCATTACGATAAAAAATATAATGGTTCCGAAATCCCGGAACGTTGGTTTAACCACAGCTTTAAATCTCGTAAATTTTCAACTTGAATAAAATGTGAGATTTTTTGAAAATTCCGTCTGTTTTCTTCTTCCCGTAGTTATAGATTTGTTAAAAGTCTATTACTTTTAATCATGAATTATCAATGAAACTAGTCTAAATCCAATCTAATGAAACTTGGCTAAAATCCATTAAAAAGAATATAAAAGAATATAAAATTTATGCCAGGAATATGAATACGTATATTTTCTTTAAAATCTTTGCAAACTTAAAATTATTACAAAGTTTTAAAGATTCAGAGTTCTACGATGTTGGATTAATCTATTGATTGCGAAATTTTTGAGATATTATCTAAGAGATTAAATATGCGTTGTTTATAATGTCTAAACGCTCGGTTAACTATTAACAAGTTGTGTCAGGAACGAATTTTAAGTTCTGAGTTCGTTAAGATTCTAGTTTAAGAATCATGGGAATTTTAACGATCTATAATGACACTTGACTATTCATTGATTCAGCAATCATTCAGTCAGAATATCAATGAATGGTTCTGCAGCTGAATGCAAAGTACACGTTCCATCACCGTTCTTTCCGTTTTGCGAATTGGCAAAGAGATCAAATAGAGGGTACGAGAGCAGATGTCTGCGGTTGTTCGTATGCAGTGTGTATGTGAGTGTATGTGTGGCTGTACATGTCAGTGAGTGCATATGATTGAGAGGATGAAAAGGAGAGAGTAGAAGAGTGTAATCTGAGAGAGAGAGAGAGAGAGAGAGAGAGAGGAAAGAAAGAAAAGGGAGAGAGAGAGAGAGAGAGGAGGAAGACAAGTAAGAAAGAACGGAGAAAATAAAAGAAAGAGAAGGAAAGCTTCGGGCCCGCTCTTTCGTCCATAAACGGAGAACGTTGATCACATCCCTCTCGAATTGATCGGTTCTTCTTTCTTGATTTGCAGATATGTATTCACGATAGTCAGCTACTTGATTGGCGTTTTCATATTCGCGACAATCGTCGGGCAAGTTGGCAACGTCATCACAAACAGGAATGCGAACCGTCTTGAATTTGAAAGGCTTCTGGATGGCGCCAAGACCTACATGAGACATCACAAGGTGCCGGGTGGTATGAAACGACGGGTGCTTAGATGGTACGACTACAGCTGGTCGCGCGGCCGGATACAGGGCGGGGGTGACATCAATACCGCTCTCGGTCTACTTCCGGACAAGCTCAAGACCGAGTTGGCGTTGCACGTGAACCTCACGGTGCTGAAGAAGGTCACCATTTTCCAGGTGAGCTGTTCATGCACGCACGATTTTACAATTAAAATATTTTAGCTTGTTAGGCGTAGAAAAATCTCTTTGATATGTTAACTCATGTTTTAGTATTTATTTTGACAACAAAATAGAAATTGCTCCTTTTTGTTCTTATCGTGTCACACGATCCAATGTGTTAATAAGTAAGTGCAATTTGCAGTGGTAAAATATCGCGCGGTTTTTCATGAGAAATACAATCCCGAGGAAGATTTCAGTAGATTCGGGATATATATGAATCTCTGTTGAAGGAACGACGTTAAAGCCGGGCAAATATTTGAGCGAAAACATTGGTTTGTGTACCTTACGTCCAGAGGAAAACTTTTAAGAGAGCACATGAGTGAGATTTTAAAGACGTGACAGCCACGTTTATGACACAACTCAATTAGAGTCGTCCCCGTTTTTCCATTTATGGAAATATTATTATATTTCTCGTTTTTTTCGAATGTGTGCTGTGACTTCTTCGACAAACTCGGAAGAGACAATATAGAGGGATATCAAAATAATTTTTTTTTCTCTCGTGGCAAAAGGCTATTGCCAAGTTCGAGGATCAAGAGGATCAAATCGTTTCTGTGCGATACAATCACTTAAGATTAAGATCATTAAAAGTAGAAGTGTTTTTTATGGGCTATCAGTTTATATGTTGCTACCAGTCGATCGCAGCAACTTCGGTGATTCAGGAACTTTAGTAAAGGAGATTTACTCATGTAACCACTTAAGTTCCGTTATCGGAACGAGAGGCAATTTTTGTCTGTAAGTGGTGAGCCGCGGCGTATCTCTTGTAAATCCTTTTCCTCTGTGGCTGGAAGCTTGTCATCCGATAAAAATAATAAAAAGAATACAGGTGCGGAGAAGTACGTGCAAGGAAGTATTCGGAAAGTTTTACGGTCAGGGAGCGACGCAAAATCATTATGGAGACAAAGTGCCGCGGTGAATTTCTCTTGATCGTCTCGAGTTTTTGCAGTACAGAATTTGTCTCACGTCACCTTATTACGTTAAAAATATTCAACCAAGTCGTTTAACGTAGAATTTTTTTAGTTTTGACATTAAGAATTGCTTTGACGTTAAAAATTTGTTTGTAAAAGTTACATTTTTAAAACGATTGTGCTGCGGATATATTTTTTTTTGGAAAAACCACATGACAGTAGAAAGAAGAATGGGGAAAAAGCGCGATACAGAAAGTAGATCTAAAAAGTTAAATCCCTGGAAGGTAAATGGCGAGTACGTGATAAACTGATATAAAGTGGAGTGGTCGTTGTAAGCTTGGCAAGGCTTCTTGAGGGCTCTCGACGAGAAAGAAATCGAGAAAAATTGCAACAAATCGTAATCGTTGAAACGCGTAACTTCTATTTGAAAAATTCAATTGCACTTGAAAATTCCGCACGTGAAATTTTCCGCAAAGTACATTTTATCAGATACATAATTAATTAGGATGACTTTTCTATTTTAAAAAATTCGATGAATATCAATTTTTTTTCTTTCTATCTCATTTTGTTTCTCTCCAAAATATACAGCTAAACGAGAGAAGTAATTAAAGTTGTCGAACGCACGTCAGTATTGGTATTCCTTCATGATAGATTCACCCGTGGAGAAACAAAGTCGAAACTTCGCTATCTTACCTCAGCACTTAATGATATTTGCAGTAGCAAACTCACAATGCAACATTCATTATTCATTCAGTGATCCTGCAGGATATTCGATAACTTTGCTTTTGCGGCTTTGAAAAATGATGTATGAGAACGTATGCATATACTTTACAATATAATTTTCATAATTTTATTCCTTCTATAATTCAGACACAATTCATCGTTTGCAGAATTATAATTTATGATCGGAAGTATTTAATTATCAGTAGAATTTTATTTCACATTTTTGTTATAAATTATAGTACGAATTTAAAATAAAATTAAATCGATTAAATTTACATATATTTCACTTTTACCCTCCATTAAAATATTAATAAAATAGACCCGGAATAAAAATGGTTTATTTATTTTGTGTCAGCAATGATTAATATTGCGATAGCAAATGATTTATTGCCAATGTACATTGCATCACCTTGCGCAATTTACACGTGTTTCAGACAAATTTGCTTATTTTGTTGTAATAGATGAACGTGGGTCTTTATTCGATATATTATAACGTTATTTGTGCGAAACTTGAGCATCTGGACGCTCACTGCAGACATGATTAAATTTGATTTTGTGCTTCTAAAAGAAGAGATCATAGCAAGTCTCGATGCGGAAATTAAGCATATTGAATGATGCGGAAGTGTATTGAACATATTTTAATTAAAATCTTTTTCATCTTGCGCTTCTTTTTATCGGCCGCATATTTTTATCACAATGTTTATAAAACCACGACAGACGTTCTTAATGAGATTTTTCAGCTTCAAAGTTAATTTTTTCTCGATGAGATAAATTTTATGTTTCAATGTATCATGTTTATACTGTTTTATCTGGAAATTGTGTCAGATTTTTTGTTGTATCTTGCACAAAAATTGGATTATGAAACAGGATAGCTCCGTGGTTTACAAATAGAGCGGAAATAAACTCGTTCAACCTTCTTCTGAGGCAGAGGCTGTCAGAATATAGTCCTTAAGATAACAAGCGCACAGACTTACCGGAATAATGAGGCGCATTTCGGATGGCTGTCAAAGCATCGGTCGATATCGATTTGTACTCATCTAATAAAATTTCATTAATTTGAATTGGAGCATACAAAATGAGACACTTATTAATTACTGAAGAAGAAAAGTAGAGCTTTACTGATGCCGACGTATGCCAAACTATCTGAGAACCGAAAGTCACTACTTTAATCCTGGCTCTCTCACACTAATTGTAAGAAAAATGATTTGATTGAAAATTAATCAGAACCAGAAGTTTCTGATTAAATTAATCAGAATTTTGATTATCTCAACTAGAATTTCAGTATAGATTTTAACTAAATAGAAAATAGAAAATTTTCTAATTATAAATTACTAAAAAATTTTATAATTAATTCTACTAAAATTCTAGTTGAGATAATCGGAATTCTGATAGATATAATCAGAATCTTTTGGTTTGTGCATTTTTAACTAAACATTTTCCTCAATGCAGGAAAATATGAGCCAAGAAGTAAACGTTCAGACGAGAAAAACCTATTGTCACTGTATACATATAGTATACATTTGCTACCGATTTAAATTAAAAACATCTAATAGTGGGAAATACTGTCCGTCCTAGGCGACTCATTTCACGAAACATGAGGTTATTTCGCGATGTGGAAAGTCCGACAGTAACAAGAGAAGTGAAATATATAAATTACGCTGCAATAAATCTAATCTCAGTAATAAATACAACTCCTTCATACATATGTACTCAGTGCAGAGTCGACCAACGATCGACGGCCAACAGATATACAATAATGTATCTTTTGTATGTGCGACGCTCTGAAAATTCCATCTTATAAACTCTACGTTCGGAGAGATGCGTTTGCAGTAGGAAGATTCAAGTACTATCGGAGATCATAATCGCGCAGTTAACCCACTTTCTTACAAGTTTGAAAAGACTGATCTAAATTTAATTTTCTCAAATTCTTCGCACGCTTTATGGTAAAATTCATTTTGTCACGTTCTTAAAAGAAGGAAATCACTTTGGTGTTAAATTCTTCAAAATTCTATTAAAGATTAACAACTCAATAAAGTAAATAGGAAAATCAATTTGTTTTACAAGCTGTTTTTCATGATTTCAGAATTACACGTGTCAATTATGATCATTTATAATTCTGACCGTTTGTAATGACGCTTATTACGTTATGCTACGAACGTCATATAATGTTCACCAAAGTGTTAACACACTAACCAGCATGTCGCCCGAGGACTAACACAATGTTATGTCGCCCGCGTTGTGTCAACCACCGGCAGGTAACGTATTAAAGCGATACGTCGACAAATTGAATTTCGCAAACCACAAACAAAGCGCAGTGCTGTAACTACGGTTATAGATAATTTTGAATAAATTGCATATAATGCATAACTTTCTCAAATTATAAAAATAATTAAAAGTTATCATGATTTATAGCCTTTGGCACATTCGTTTTCTAAAAATATTCAACACTAATAAACGACAAAGTAAAAAACTGTATTTGTGTTATATTATCAGTATCTAGTACATCAAATTTTATTTAGATTATTTTTTTACTTTTTTATTTGTCTCCTAAATCTAGACTTTTTTTAATTATGTTTATAATAGCTATCTGAAAAAAATTAATATACAATCTTTTCTTTTAATTTAATAAATTTAATAAATAATAAAACTCTCTTTCTCTTCTATATTTGGACAAATTTTTCTGATTACTTATCAATTATCTACATTAAATTTATCAGAACATATTTATATAAATTTTACGTTCTTACTCTCATTATTTTTTTGTTTGCATGTATTACGTGGCTGTCAAAGTGCTCCTAGCCACTTATATTTCAGAACTACTTCGATAACCGCAGCGGATATTGTTCAAGAGAGAATGTAAGCAGATAGTAATCGGAATTGGTGAAAGAGGAACCTCGATTGTCATCTTCGTGCGTCCGAAGAATTTCCATTATCTTAGAGACATCCTTTTTGCTCGCCATTCTGTTTTCCTTTCCTTTTCTCCTTTTCTCCGAAAGGTAGGAAAACTGATGAAAGGAAAAAGGAAAGAAATGGAAGAAAGGCAGAAATAAATGTCGCTGAGATAGAGTTACACGTGACTGTGTCGCGTTTCTAGCAAATTCTTTCCAAATATCTTACGATACTATCATATTATATAAACTTTATTACATAAACAATATTTTTTTCAAAATATATTGGATGCGTTATTTTATTATTTTTTTTATCTAGAAATTTAGAAACAAGCAGATATTCAAAAGTGTGAAATCTTTTCGAGGCATTTTGAATCTATCGTGCATTTCCGAGACTCTTATTTCCTTCTTATGAATGTTATTATTCGCGATTTAGTCGAAG